AGACCACAGACCAGCGTGCCAGACTAAGACTTTGCTGCCCTGACATACGAAAAGTACCAGGGCGGCGTCTCAGTGGCTTTTTGGAAAGCGTGGCCTTGGATTGGCTGGCGGCGTGCGGCAGGAAGCCTAACTCGATTGCTGCACGCAAAGGCCACGCCACAGGCCCTGGCTCCATGCCACAGCGAGCCCGAAAGCGCATCGCTGGGAACAACCGCCAGGTCATCGAGGTCGATATCACCGGCCGCTTGATTCCATGATGCTTCGTTTTTTGGCCTACGCTTGTCGTTTCAGACATACTCGTCTTGTCATTGGGCTTCGGACAAAGTCCATGGGTCAACTCAGGATCACCTGCTGTTAGCGACGACGAGTCGAGACCAGTTCGAGCAGAAGAGGTCTGTGACTTCTTAGTGGCGTGAGGCCAAATTAATCGCTGATCAAGCAGGCTGGAAAGCACTTCAGACTGACCAGATCAGCTGCACTGCCCTGGGGAAAGGGCAGCTGCTGCTGGGGTTGTCCAACTTGACTGAGCCGAGTCGAGTCAGGGCATGACTTACTCTCTAGCTTAAAGTGCTGCAGCATGCAAATGTGTCACGTTCGAAAATTGAAAATCCAGCTCACTCAAGTTGGTCAGGGGCACTGGAAGCAAATGCCTCTGGTGATGGACGCTGGTCCTAGTGGTGCAACTAGGGGACAAGTCGCTCCGGAAAAAAGACCCCGTTCAAGCAGTTTGATGCCCCGAACCTGCGTTGCCGACACCCAAGCCAAAACAAGTTGGATTTTCGAGGGTCTTCCGGGCCTTTTGGACTCTGGTGTTTTGAGCGGTGTTGCCTTTGAGATTGAGGGTTGTAGGTTTGGGGTTCGATTGTCGCTCTTGTGGGTAGCGCATTGAAAATGTCTCGAGTCGTGGCTCCTGTAGGGGACTGTAAGAACCTGCAAGTCGGCCCCTTGCATAATTTTATCTTATTATTATGCATATGCCCTTCTAGCTTGGAGGGACCGAAACACCAGAGTCACAAACCTTCGAACCTCCAGGAGACTGCAGATGCAACCGAAGCTGCTGCCGGGGAGCCAAGGGGGGAGGGTTCGGTATCGCTGCCGGCTTGCTGCCTCTTGAGCCTCTTTCTTTACATACAGTTGTTTAGATGCTGAAGGGGTGCTCCCATGTGGGGCTGAACGCCCACCTGCTCCAAGAGGGGCAGAAGAGCCTTGGCTGACTCGCTAGCATACCGGACAACAGTACCAGTTTCTACCGAATCCTAGGAGCGCACTCAAACCCCACAACTCCGAAACATGCAGAAACCCTGCACTCTGGGTAGTGGCAGGCTGCAGTAAAGATTGAACTGTTCCACCTGAGGCCCACGCCGCATTGCTTCTTCCTGGTTCTCATCGGCAGGCTCGGGCCTCAAGGACGACAAAGCCAGACATGCTGCAGTGTGTTTTTTCATGTTTACTTTGCTGGGAGTATAGAAGAGGTTGGCCTTTCCACGCTGCCTCTCAGGCTCACAGGGTTGATCCCAGCGATTTATATTTTCACGCCGCACTTCACTTCCAACATAGCACATAGCTGCTTCACAGCCATGGACGATGTACCCTGGCCGGGGCAGGAGGATGAGGACTTCCCTGCAGGCTTCTTCGGACAACCGAAGTTCCTATCGCGAAACAAAAACATGGACAACGAAAGAAACAACGAAACATGGGCGGAAGAAAAGATGGACGACGAAAGTGACACCGAGGCATGGGCGAATCGCCCAAAAAGATGGTTCCGCTCGAGCTCGAGGAAGCGAGAGTCCACCTATGTGTCCAAGGCCCATAAGTTCAAGTCCGCCTATGTGTCCAAGACCCACAAGTTGAAGTCCACGAAGGTCTCAGAGGCCTCCGAGGCCCAGAAGTACGAGTCCGCCAACGTCTCCGATGCCCCGAGGTACAAGTCCAGCAGCGTCTCCAAGACCAAAAACAAGCACACCGAGGCCCAGAAGTACAAGTCTGCCAATGTCTCCGACGCCCAGAAGTACAAGCCCAGCAACGTCTCCAAGTGCAAGAGGTTCGTGAAGTGGAAGTGGGTCACGAAGTCTTCATGCAGCAGCTCCTCCAGAAGCTCGTCGTCGTGGTGGCCACCCCCGCCGCCGCCACGGCCTGATGCCACTGGGAGGAATCCACAGACTCGCCAGAGCGAACCACTGGCGAGAAGGCGTTGAATCTGAGACACGTTCAAGCCGCTGCTGGGCACCTGGAGAAGCTCAGTGTAGACCTGTGCGAAAACTTCGGAAGGGCAGAGCCGCTTTCACAGAGCAGCTTAAAAGTCCGTGCTGTGCATGCGATGCTTCAAGTCTCAGCAGTCGTAGCGCTCCACCCTGAAAGCCCAAACCTTCAATAAAACTGATCGACCCCAGGCCTGTTTCTCGAAGCCGGGCAACATGCGGCAGGCCATGGTCTCAAGGCGCGATGGAAAGCATGCTGAGTGAAGCTTCGCACTTGCAGTCTGTTCTGGATGCACAAACACGCTGCGGGGTAGCCTCACTCAAGCACCCAGACCAAAAGAATGCCCCCGAAATGGTGTAGATCTGTCATCGAAACTCCCATTGCACACAAACAGGCTGCGCCAGCGAACTTTTGTGCCCGGCACCGAGTGTGGAGTGTCTACACAGAACTCTTGCGACTAAGGAATTGATTGAAGGTAAGTTCTCATTTAAGTCAGGCCTAGGCTACTAGGGTTTATTAAAGTCTTGTCGTCGAGATGATACCCTGAATAGTCGGATCCTTGTTCTAGGGACCCCAACATGCTTCTCAGGAAGTAATACTACTACTAGTACTACTACTAGTACTACTACTACTACTACTACTACTACTACTACTACTACTACTACTACTACTACTACTACTACTACTACTACTACTACTACTACTACTACTTGCAGATATGCGTCGCATGTCAAAACAATGCGTGTCAGCGCGAAGCCGCTACTTCTGTCAAGCCCATGAAATTTGAAAGTGCCCCTCAACCAAAGGTCGTCCATGGCATTTTCGGCAGGCATAGTGCATGCTGATGCTTCGGTCCCCCAGGGATCGATGCCAGTGCTTCGCCTCTTTGCCTGTCAGACAACTGGCTGCAACGTCCCGCATGTGAGCCCAGGGCACAGGCACTGCTGCAAGGATTGTCGCCTGACGTTCGGGCATGTGCACGCGAGACGGTGCCGGCATCTACAGCGCTCACTGCACCGAAGCACTACGAACCTTGGATCTGTTGAGAATGGGTTGCCTTTTGTGGGGTGTGGGGTGATGGGCTGTAATCGGTCCGTAACGGGGCGGCACTCCACCTGCTGCTCGGGCTGTGGTCGCACTCGTGGCATGCGACACTCTGCCAGATGTGATCGAGTCAGTGGTGTGGTGGGCACAGATGGGCCAGCAGCTAGCCAAGAGGGTGCGTCGGAATCTATGGGTTCACAATCGACGATTGGTGGCCATCCGAGTTCTGCGGTATTGCACTTTCCTCAGCCAGACTCCATTCTAGCTGCTCCGATGAACTATGAGCTGGACGTGCAGTCCGGTAAGGTTTCGACACATGTGCTCGCGAGTGGTGCTCCAGTTGACATGCGGGCCCCAACTTCAGGATGTGATGCGACGCCAGTCCTCGAACTTCACGACTTGGATTAATTTTCCAGCGGCGTTAGCGAGCTATGATGCTCTTCTTTATGAAGGGATCCATGACAAGCCTGGGGCGAAATCTATTCGCCGGGCGACCGCTTGTCCCTGCGATGTCAAAAATCAGTGGGCGTTGAGAAATCCGCGACTCCAACAGTAACAAGCTAGTGTCCCCGAAGGAGCTGGGAGATCCCTAACACCCCTAACTTTGAAACCCTAAACCCCAAACCCCGAAACCCTCAAGATCCTAAACGCGACTGCCTCAGCAGTGTCTGGCAAGCCTCGTTCCAAGAGAGCCCAATACCCCTTAATTAATTAAGGAATATAGCTTACTAACATCAGAATATGCAGCCCTATGTATTTTAAACCATCTTCCCATATTCCTTAAATTAAGGGGTATTGGGCGTCAAACTAAAGCAGAAAAGACCCTTACTTAGAACCCACATAGCCACAGATCTTAAATTAAATAAAACCTAACCCCCACATCCTTCTATCCCCAAGCCCTGAACCCAATTACATCTCAACTGCCTACACCCTCAACACGGAATCATCACCCAAGTCCAGTCTCCGGTCTCCTATTTGAGGCCTCGCCGACCGGCCGCTGACGACCGAGCTGCATGAAATGCCAGGGAGAAAAAATGTATCTTGATTTGCTGGCTTTCTACAGCATGGATTACGACCATATCATAGATTACAAGGATTCGGCTAATCACGCGGATTAGCCGGATTACGGATTAGGATTAGACCCCCTCGGCTCTTGATCTGTCCAGTAGAAGTCTAACTCAGTTCCGGAAGAAGGGCGCTACATGGGTTCTTGTGTCAAGTTCTTCGAACAGCCTTGAATAGTCGAAGACCTGTCGAAGACCATTGAGCAATCCACAAGATCAAGATCGCCAGCCAGTTTGAGTGAGGATAACCTGGTACACGGATTTTCCGGTTCCGCTTCTGGTTAAGGATTACGGACGTTAGTGCGTCTCCAAGACAGACGCGCGCCCGAAGGGTTAGTTAAAGAACCAGCTGAATGAGCAGAAACTCGTGTAAAATTCAACGACAGAAAGTACGCACGCGCAGCCACATGAGCTGCTTTCAAATTACCTAAGCTATAGAGCTTGAGCATAGTCGCCTTGAGGCCCAGGATAACCGCAGGAAAAGCAGCAGCGCCCGAGCATGCCCCCATCCTCCAGCTCTGCAGAAGCGGTGATAATCAGTAGAATCATCAGCAAGAGTATATAGTAATTACAATAGTAGCAACAACAACAATAACAATGGTAGTGTAGCTATCTGTAAGGGCGACATGGTGTCTGCTGTCGTCATGGCCACCCGGCTTTCGCTGCTCCACCCCGCTTTCAACACCGCCAAAGGAGCCATGTTTCGACGAGCAGGACTCCCGGCAAGACCAGGGAAGACTTTCAGGGGGGACTGCCTTAGCCTAAAACCCTTGCCGAGAGTGAGAGTGGGTGCAAATGCCACGCACGCGTATAGTGTAGAGTCGAAGTGGCACTTGTGATTACTCCAAGCTTATCGCAGGCTAGACAGGAATGTGACAACCATATGAGCCACCAGAATTGTAGTGACCATGGCAGTAGTAAGACAAAATACACAGCTGATGCTGGGTTTGAGACTGGGTAGATTTTTTTGTGGCGCCTTTATTTTTGCCATGCCTCCACTGTATTGATCCTTTCGAGGAGTCATCGACCCCGAGCTCTTTTGTGCGGTGTTTCTTTGAGGTTGTTGCCAACTAGCTGCCTCATGCTCGGAGGTAAAGCACGTGCGAAGCTGAGGGCACTTGGCGATCAGCGACGCTTTCAATGCTGGAGCCTGTGACCCAGGACCGGAAGGGTTCCCAGAGACTCCAATATCCCTTAATTAAGGAATATTCCTCAAATTATAGTAAGGTTCCTTAATATGATTTAAGGTATATTCCTTAATTAAGGGATATTGGAGTCTCTGGATTGAGGGGGCTTGGGGCACGGGGCTCCCAGAGACAAGTGGCATTTGGGAAACCAGCCTGGGTTGCCAAGCCAGTCTGTAACTTGTAATTCGATTGCAGATGAAGAGGTTGAAGGGGGCTCCAGCAGATCCCACAGATCGTCATCGTCTGAAAGCAGCCAGCCAAGAAAACGGTGTTTCTCTGAACTGGGCTTACAGATACTGGCATGTGCTTGCTATTCGCGCTAACGTACGGTTCCGGAAGCACAAAAAGGACCCTCAAACGAGTTCCCACATGAGAACAACAACACAAAATGGTCTTTGTGTTCAATGTATCGTCAAACCGAGTAACTTACCCGAAGCCCAAAGTCCCCACTGATCGCTGCGGACCTTGCCAGGCTTTGTCCGAGTGTGAGTGTTAAAGAAAATCCACGCACACAGCTGAACCAGAACTGTATTCGACACCGCAACCTTCGAGTTGAAAAATCCCGAACACCGGGCAACCAGCTTTTACTCACTCGTGTTGTTATTTCTATTACGATGACTCTTGCCCACAAAACTCCTTCTACCTCTATACTCACTCTCGTTGTTATTTCTATTTATTATGGTTTCTCCTGCCATGGTTCATCCTGAGCCTGAGGAGTTACCGGTGCCAAGGCAGTCTTTGCTGGGGCGGCCTGGTGGGCTTGCAGGGAGCTTGTACTGATTACCAAGACTACTTTGGGAGGTTCCTTATCAAAGTAGTTTATAGTATCATATATCCCAGAATTCTAGTGGTACTCGGAAGATTCGAACGAAGTGCGGTCTGGGTGTGGGGGAATTGGGCTGACCCTACACCCAAGACTCAACAGGTGCAAAGCCGCGTCGCTGTCGCGTTTCCAGGGTCCCCTGCGCTGCTCCCTGGCGCGCCTGGCCTTCGAGCTCTGTGCCTGAGAGCCATGATAAGTCTGACGAGGTTTGGGGGATTTGGGTTTTAACGGCTGTTTGGTTTAATTTAACGGTTGAGTAGCTGCTGGGATGTTTGGGAAGTTTTGACATGCATTGTCCTTTGCCAGAGGTTGTATTATGGTATTGCTAACAGGAGGCTGGTGCCTGCTCCGGGGCAATTGATGAGAGTGTTGGCTTCAGGGTTTAGAGCTGATACGTCTGGCTAGACTTGAGTCCAGTAGCAAAAAGGGTTGATACGTCTGCAAGGCTGCCATGATCCGGATCTTACCTCGCACCAAGAAGCCTTTGCTTTCCACAATATGGCCCGAACTTCGACATACTTTCCGCCTTGAGGTGGGCAGCTGTGGACCAGCGGGGAACCGCCTCGCGCCCGTGGCCCCACGGGAGCGAAAGGCCAGCGCCGAAGACCGGAGGAATGTATATACATATATATATATATATATATATATATATATATATATACGTATGTATATATATATATATATATCTCTCTCTCTCTCTCTCTCTCTGAAACTCTCTCTCTCTCTCTCTCTCTCCCTCTCTCTCTCTCTCTGTCTATCTAATCTATCTATCTGTATATCTATCTACACGAGGCTCCAGTTTCATGATGACTCGTGACTGGCCATGACCGTTGATGCTGCCTTCATGGCTATGCCGCGAAATCTGCAGATTTTCGGGCTGGGGCTTTCGGCCTTGCCAGAGCTGCTCCGGGGTTCTGGCTTTCAATGTTCTCAGCCGGCGAAGTTGTGAGCTGTGCCCGCGAACCGATTCGTGTCGGTTCTCGGATTAACAGCCTCTAGACTCTAGTCACGCTGCTAGTCATACATGGGCAGGAAGCTTGAGGGCAGGTGGATGCAGCAGGCTTCGGCAGTGCAGCTTCCACGGCCGAAGCAAGCTCTTGGCAGGTCTTTGTAACATCGTGTAACATTTAATCTGCTCACTGATTTTCTTTCCGCTTTGCCTCAGCTGCGGCAGGTGAGCGTGTTGCCGCTTATTCCATCATGCATGCCATGATCCTGCGGAATCGCGGTGCCTGGCACTGCACGGCCTTTTCGAGGCTTTCGTGATTGGAGGAGTTCGAATGGACAGACCAGAGTCCTAGATGGAGGGTGGCTTTCGAAACCGGTCAGACCCTTCCCAGAACACGAGCTGCAACACACTGCTACGTCGTTCCTATGCACAGACTTTGTTGAGATTTTCCAAAACACCTTTCTGGCTACAGGACTCAAGCCTAGCCAGACGACGACCTGCGTTCATCTTGACTGAAGAACCCTACAATAACCCTGAACCTGCACCTGGGCTTCAGGTGATCGGCCGGGGGCCATTGCTGTGCTTCGGAGCCTCGCGGAGAGGGCCGAGCGCGGCCTCGCGGCAGAGCCGCTTTGAGCCAGACTATCTTGAGACATGGTTCCTTAGGGTTCCGTTGTGCACCTCTGACTTGTACTGGTAAGTAAACAACAGCCAAGCCCTGAAACCCTCGTCTAGTTGCTTCTATGTTATGGTGCGTCACGATCGTATTACTTCGTCAACTTGCACCCGTCAGCGGAGCTGCTACAATAGCGTTGTGCTATGATCGTTCGCCATTGGAACCCTTGATAGGTATACAAAGAGACCCGCCGAGTGCTTCGTTCTTGATCGTTTGGGGATGCGGGAGGGCTTCAAGAAGTCGCCTTGTTGTTCCTCGCCTGGCTTGTGCCAGTGTGAGCAGCGAAGCACCCACAAATGACGGTACTGTACAGTTTTCTGATTGCCTGGCAATACTAGAGTCACTAGAGGATGGCATGTTGTCAGAGTTGCGTAGAGCAGGTTGCTAGTCGACGCCTACCTCCAACTGGCTGAATGGCTGATGGCAGAAGACGTCGAGGAGTTCGTTGCCGAAGACACCAGAACGACAAGACGCCCTAGTAGCGAGGGAAGCAGATTCAAGGCAGACTTTCAAGTTGAGGGGGGGGTGCCAACATGGATTCTGGGCAGTGATGAGTTTCAAGCGCACTCCACGATCTTGGTGAGTGCGCCTGCAGGCTCTACAGCCTCAACCATTCCGAAACCCTAAGCTCTCGGACAGTAGCACTGCTAGCTGCAGTCGGACAAAGGCATCCTGAAAAACATGCAACATCCAAAGTCCTAATTCTCACTCCACCACTCTGAATCCGCTCCTGCTTTGCGAGCGTGCTGATTTCCAGCCTTGCGAGGAAGCCGAGAAGTGGGCCGAGGCAGCAGTGAGACTCCGGAACAAGGACTCTTCACTCTGGAAGCTAAAGGTTTAGGGTTCAGAGCTTGGGGCCTAGGAGTGTGGGGGCTCGTGGGTTTGGGGCAACCTGATTGTATTGACTGTCTTGTCTTCGTCTTGAGTAGGTCAGTCTGATGGATTTCGGGTGTTGAGGTCAAGTTTGCGGGGCTTGTGATGGACATTACGACATAAAGCTGCTTGAAGGCATCTTGTCCGAGCCTTCCAGGAGTCCGAATCCGGGGCACAAATACTAAAACGCAAAATTTTAGCCTTATAACACCAGACCCCAAGGCTCGAAACCGCAGCATCGTCTGTGCAGGATCCTATGGTCCATTTCAGACACGGTCAGGGGCTCGGGCATGTTTCGGCCCTACATCATTTCGCTTGTGCCGATGAAGGGGCCCTCCTGCATTGTCACGGATAATTATGTCTTTCTGCCAGCACCAGAAGCCCAGCAAAAAGACTCTTGAGAGGAGCTTCCCCAGCTTCCATTTACAAAGGGTCCGGGCAGTTCTTCATCCCACCTGTCTTGTTTTGAGCTCTTGCCAGCTTCATTTTCGTCACGGCTGCGACACTCGTTTCTGCACAACTGTCTGTGGAACACAACCAGGGCAGTGCTGTGACTCTGTTTGTGTGGCTCTTTGGAATGTATCTTCACCCGCATATTCAGCTCGATTGTGTACTGGTACAATGCTTTTCCGGACATCTTGGACTAGGGTTGCGTTGTCTCTGCCACTACCGGGTGCAGCAGGCCTTTGGTCTGTTACTAGCCCGGTAGCTCATAATTGGGTCTGAATCCAGGGCCGTCACTTCGGATCGCGTGTAGAGCACCACCTGTAACCCATGGCTTACTCGCTAAACTGCTTGATAGTCCACGTCCCAGGCTCCATCCAAGGCGCCAAGGGCGATCAACTCCAGGCGCTGCGCAGCTTTCAGAACAGCCTCCGCCTGCCGGGCCCTGAGAGGGCAAGCTTGGGGACAACCAGTGCAGCAGCCTATTCAGAGTCGCACTTCTAGGGGTCTTAGTGATTAGACTAGGGTTCTGGGCTCTTTGTAATATGGCTATAATAAGGAACCCTAAGGAATACGTGATTTAGTCTTCTTTCTTAGGGGCCTTGGCAATTAGTCATGTAATCCCTGAGGGTTCCTTGTGATAGTTTTCTGGCAATACACACTGAAACTCACCACAACCTTGTTCTAGTGTTTACAGCTGTGGTGCTCATATTACACACAGCACGATCAAAGTCTTGCGAGACTTTTCGGGACTATCCACCTGCGCAAGTCGCGAATACCAGGAGCGAGCAGGGCAGCCCCATCCACGAAGAGAGCAGGAGGTCCGGCAAGCTTCCTTGTATCAAAGGGTCGGTGTCGTTCAGTCGGAGAAATCTTGGGAACATGTGGAGCCTGAGACACTTCCGGTCACGAGAGTACTTGAGTTAGTCTCCTGTGTGTGCACATTGCCGTCAAGCACAAGCACTTGATGCATCGAGCTTCCCAACATCACCCCGGACCTTCGCCCGGACGTGATTTTCTGCTCACTCAGACGGATGAATATGGCCGGTTTCAGCATACTCGTGCCAAGGGTTCGATGACGGCTGAGAGCGATGCAAGTCGACTCCCGACTCCAGGATCGTCGCGGCCATACAGGCCACACTAGGCGGCCGAGGGTGGGCTGAGTCTCTGCGCTCCAGAAATGGGAGTTTGTGGAACATCAGGGGTGCCTTGTTTTGGGGTCCTTATAACAAGGACCCTGCTAATTAGGGTACTATAACAGGGTCCCATATCTTCGAAAACTCCCATATTCACGCCTCGACATCCTCAGCACGAAGACGTATCTTCAGGATGCAGTTCATACGCTTTTGAGATCATGGGTTTCAGGATGCGGTTTCTCAAAACATGCGGGCCTTGAGTGAACGTGGAGTTATGTATGTGGATAGAAATGCTCAGGGTGTGTTTTCGACTCTCACTGGTTGGTGAGAAGGTTGTGAGGCTCATGTTGCAAGCGCAGGCTTGACCTCCGGACATGGGAAGAGGCCACTGTCTGCAGGTGAGCCTGCTGAGTACCGGGGGAGGATGTGTCTTCTTCTCTTGAACATTGGATCAGATCGTTCTGTCGTGCTCTTGAAGCTTGAAAGCTGCCTCTTGCACGGGTTCTCCATTACGTCCCTCGCATCTTCAGCAAAAGCGCAACCAGCAAGGAACATCTGTACTCATATGCCAACGCGAGCACTCGACCTCCCACATTGAACCTGGTCATCGCAGAGGGAGACGTCTTCAGGGATTACAAGCTGCTTTGCGAATTGACGTGTCAATTTCGTCCTCGGACGAGTACTGGTTTAATTTCCAGTCTTCAGATTCAGGTCGCTCTGTTAGGCTCATACTGTCGTGAGTCTCTGAGTGCTTCATCTGGACACCTCGGGTGCCCAAAGCCCCCAACCAAGCCAAAATGTCTGTATAACCCTAAACCCGTGCCTCGCCTGGATTGCCCGAGTGTGAGCGCCGAAACCCTAAACATTAGATGTCCCTTTCAGCCAGGAGACCAAGAGGCCTCCACGACGGTGCAGACGTCCGCTCTCTTAGGTGACCTGTAACATCGTAGTTCTTGGATTGTGGGTCTTGGTCTTTCCTCCTACCTAATGCCTCTGCACCCTGCAAAGAGGAGCTTGAAGTATATGCACACGTACTCCCAAAGTCGTGATGTTAGCGAAGTTTCACACCCGGCTGGTGCAGCCGCCGCCAAAGCCGCGGCCAAAGTTGCTGCCCCCAGCGCGGAGCCTTCGCGAGAGGAGGGTGGAAAATTCGAGCCAATGTCTGGGTTGTGAGGCCAAAGGTCGGAAAAGTATTAAAGGGTGGCACGGGACCAGGGATTTGCAATTTGCTTTCTTCTCGTTTCACTTCGGCAGAAATCCGCTTTGTGAGGATGCCCTTCTGCTTTGGACTCTCGATTGCTTGATGTCTGCAGGCGACGCCATGAACCTCTCAAAGATGCGGGCAAAGGCCCGCTTGCGCAGAAGCTGGGTACGATAGGCGCCTTAACAATTACCGTTCTAGGGCTTGCCGGGTCTCCAGGGCTTGCAACCCTAAGAGTATCGGCGCAGAGCAAGATGGCATCCTGCATGTGTTGTCAAGAATGGCTTCCTCCACAAACTTTCAACATCTCTCAAACATCGAATATAAGCGCCAAGCCTGCTTTCACAATCTTCACACCTTCGCCAACGATCATCATCATCATCATCATCATCGTCATCATCATCAGCACCACCGCCATCATCACCGTCACCATCATGTCGGGAGCATGTGCTGAGGCTTCCGGGCGACGGCGGTCTCTTCAAGCGGATGCAATAAGGGGCATCGAGGTGCCTCGCAGATCTTCGCAGATTTCAGCTTCGTTGTTAGGTTGAGGAGGCTGGAGCGCTGGGGATTGGCTTCCGGTTTTGATGTGTCACAAGGTCTGTGACGGATGTGCGGCGGAGAGAGATCCTTCAGCAACTCGAGTCCTAATTCTTCTGTTTGGGGATGGGGCATGCTATTTTTTAGAGTTCTGCAAGCTCCGACAACTTTTCCTGGTAATCTGGCCGTCGGGCTGTCGCTCAAAACAGATGATGGGAGCACCTTCAAGTGTAATCAATCGCCCTTCGGGTATGCGACAGGACATGCAAGGAATTTGGTTTCGGATTTGCTTCCTCCTTCTGGCACCTAACACTCCAGCCTGCTCGAGCTTCGAGCAACTTAGAGCCGTTGGTACCCTGTTCGGTGACTTTCTCTTCTTTATTGTCCGTCTTTCTCTAGCCTCGGTCTCTGTTTCTCTTTGTCTCACTCTTTCTGTTCTTTCTCTCTGTCTCTTGCTTGCTTTGCTTCCTCTCCCTTTCTAGCCCTCCCTCCCTGTCACCCTAAACCCCTAAACCCTAAACCTATGGCGCAGCTCCCCGCCCCCAAAGGACTCGGGAGATGCCATTTCCTTCGAGATGCCTTGGCGCTCGGGAGCTCTTTTCAGGGTTCGGGCGCCTGCAACTTAAATCAACTTGCAGTGTTTACAGAGCTGAGGGCCTATAGGGCTTCGGGAGTTTAGTGGCTCCAGCGTTTGGAGTCTGGATTTAGGCTTGGTGTTTTGAGGAGATGAGGACGGGTAGGCTTGTAGAATACCTGCCGCGACTACTGACACGGCTCATCCTGCACTACGCATGTGGAGAGATGCGCCGAGGTTCCTGCAGTGGGTGGACGATCATCGGATTGTGAAGGCCTTGCGTGATCCTGGCCGTTCAACAATCTAGGATGCCCCAAAAGCCTGCAACTGCGACCAGACGGTTTGGGGATCTGAAGGTGGATCGTTACGGTCAGGCTATGCTGCCTATGCCAGCTTGGGGTGCAGCATGGGCGCGATGCATGAATCATTCAGCCTGGGTCCCAAAGAGTCCGACGAAGCTCGGAATCGATCAACCCAGAATCAACACACAGCTTCGCTGCAAACTTCGCAAGTGGCATGGTTATGATTCCACTCCCTACCCCGGCTGTTTGGCTGCACAGGCAGTCGGTTCCCGAAGCCTCCTTGATGCCCCTGGAAGGTGAGGGAACAGCGCCGCTGCGCAGGGTCAGAAGCTGAGAGTGCTTCCAGTCCTTGCCTGGGCATGCAGCAGAGGGGCCTAAACAATTACCTATACTATTTTGGGGTATTCCCTATCATAACTGTAGTATAATGGGCCCCCAAAAAAGGCTCCTATATGAAGGGATGTGGCAAGCATGAGAATGACAGTATTTCTTGCTGATTGTCGGGAAGCTGCAGTTGGTCGACCGCACTGTCTACACTTGCGCACACCTAGGATCTGCTGCATCGGCCCCATAACTCCCTCGATGTGTTCTCCCTTCCACATTGCCATTGTCGTGTGCCGCTTTTCCAAGTTACTACTTGTGCTATGCCTGTGACAACTAGTCCTCTCAGTGTTGCTGCTACTGCTACTGCTGCGTGATTGCCATTTTTGTTCATGACCGTGTGCCGTGCGCCCACGAGCCACGCTCATGCGAACTGCACAGGCGCAGGCTCCGTTTACGCGTACGTACATCCATACATCCATCCACACATACATACCCATACACCCAAGCACATAACACTCACATGTCTGTATATACACGGAGACACAAAACGGACACGACATGTTTGTTTGCTGCATGTATGCTTATGTTGTTTGTATGTGTATGCGTGTCTGTATGCATGGATGGATGGATGAATGGGTGGATGTATGTACTGACCCAAAGTCCATACCATCGGTATCGCAGGTTCTCAAGCGCAGAGCTGGATTCCTTCCGGCTCGTCTTCGCAGTGCCCAGCTTAGCCTTCGGATTAAAGAATCATTCAAGTTGGACCAAGAACCGGCAATCATGTTTCGCCGGAGGTTATATATATATATATATATATACACCGTATATACCTGCTTACGGTAGGCGGACTTTCAAGGCTCAGCATGAATATGGCAATACCGATGTTGTAGGCTGAAGTGCATGCGAGCACGTGCCAGATTGTCTCTCCTGCCTGTGGGAGACAGAGGAATGCGATACCAACCACTCCGGCAACCTCGAGCTAAAGGAAGTAGGCGCGGGCTACAGTGTGCCATCACGTGATCGCATTGACAGGAAGGTAGAGTCGATCAGGAAGAACTGAAAACCCGATACTTTGTAACCCTAAGCCAGGTGGGTTCTTGGAGAAGCTTGGGCTGCCACCGCTTGCGACGGCAGAGGCCGAGCAAAGGATGGAGTTCATAGGGCAGTTTGGGTTTAGGGGTTGAGGGTTCGGGGTTTAGGGCTGTTGGGTAGAAGCTAGGAGCGCTGTCACGAGCACAGTCCTAACTGGCGGAATAGCGGCAAACTACCAGGCGTCCTTGCGTGCAAGCCTGTAGCAAAAGGGGTGTGGGGTATACAGTATGTAGGGATGTGGGGGCCTGGGGTGAAGTCTTGGTAGTTGTGGGGTGTGGGGGTTGCATCCTGGTTTGTACAGGGTTTTACAGTGTTGTATGACTCTTGTACGAGTTGGGGGTTTGCTGCTGTAGGTTCGCAGTTGGATGGCTTAGGATTGGTTCGGTTTATTTTCACTTAGAGAGTCTGCAGGGCTCGGGGCATCGCGGGCTTCGAGAAATTATGGACCCCGTCAGTAAGTTTGGGCTTAATCCTGAAGGATCAACTGCTCCTTAAAAGTAGGGCCCCCATACCCTCATGCTTTGCAACATGGTAGTTGAACCTTCATCTCCTTTCGGGTGCAGTTCGTTCTTAAGGATCTCAATGGGCATTTCTCTTCCAGGAGCGCAACATGCTGCTGACCGACACGGAGAAAGCCAGGGACACAGTCGCGCCCTTAGAAACACAGGTTGCAGTTTCAGCGATGCAGAGCTACATACGGTTGATGATAGACATGCTGCATTACTTGAAGGACCCTAAACTGTGGGAATAATGGTATTTTCCTTATTATGGGTAATGCAGGATTTTTTTCATCAACCGTAGTTAGCTCCCCCTGAGCATTGCTGCCGGGGGTCATTCGGGCGGGGGCGGGATTCCTGAAAGTGATGGTCCCCCCAAAGCCCTATTCTCATTATAAAGGCCCGTATATACATTTTTTTCCGTAGGGTTGGTCTGTTGGGTTGCAGGTCATCCAGGCGAAGGCTTTGCGTGTGAGGCGCAGGGATCGCAGGGCTTCCTGACATGCAGCCGCACTGAACAAGACAAAGAAAGCGCGCAGAGCTGACTGGTCTTTGGTGTGCTGCAGGCGCGCCTGCGATGCTGCCTTGTTGACTTGCCTTATATTCTTCACAAAAGCTAGAAGGTATATTCCTCCACTTAAACCATTCATCTTGGGCCAAAGATTGCCCAGCCCTTACGGCTCGAGCTGGTTGTCGGGCTCGAGTTGGGTGTCGTGTGCGGCCCTAACTTGTGTTGAGCTGTTTTCCGAAGCAAAACTCGTGCTGAACTTGTAGTATGACACGAACCTAGAGACCTCGTCTGGCGAGTCCGAGTTGCGAGAGTGTAAAGCAAAGCCCAAAAACCTGGATGTAGGAGTATTGCAGAGTCATTGTAGACTACTATAAGTTTAAGCGGTTGCGGGTTCCATATTAAACTATAGTATAATATATGCCCCCCAAAACCCTATTGTAGATATTAAGGCCCCGAAAATAGAAC